TAGGAATTGGATTGTTTGGGTTTGCTTTGTGTTTTTGAGGTAGAGGAGGAAATGGGCATCTTTTTCTCTTCCAGGAGTCAATGGAAGAATAGTTCTCTAGCTAAGGAACAGACATACCTTTGTTTTAAAATATTTTATACAAATCTAGAAATAAGGATTTAAAATAACCTGCACAAGGATAGAGAGAAACTATGTGACTGATTCTGGCAAAAGACTTCTTGCAGTTGTGAATTATTTAGAAATGATCAGAATTTGTAATTAGGCTAGTCCATTTAGTGATTCCTAATATTTTGTACTCACAGAGAACTAATTGAGTAAACAACTTGAACGCTAGTGGTTTGTCCTTAGACAATCTGTCTTTGAATTTAAAGTCTTTATTGCTAAGACCTTGACTTGAAATTTTTCGTCACTACAACCTTGAATTTAATTTCAAGTCTTCAACATGATGACCTTTAAAGTCTTCAATACTATGCGCTTTATCATATTATTCACAGATGCATTTTTGAAATGTAGTGTGTAAAAGTATGTAGTGTGCTGTTTATTAACAAAAGATTGTTCACAACATCTTATGTAGTTTAAATTTGTAAATACTACTTCTGTTTCGTTTCTCCTTTATACACTTGACTGTCTTTGTGATAAGTGAGATGAATTTTATGTTAGGATTAAGTATGTTTTCCTGAAACTTGGATTTTTTTTTGTAATTATACAATTGAGAGTTAAGAATGATATCCTTCGAGTGTTAAAAACTCACATTTTAAAAGCAAATTTTTGTTCCAATCCTGTATTTTGTATAATTGCCTATTTTTCATAAACTAACATTAATCAGCCTTTGCTTTTAAGAAAGAAGATGGGATGGATTCTTGCTGACCTGCTGTGAGTATAGCAGGCCCATTCAAAGTCATCTCCTGGCTTTGAATGTACCCTCTTGTGTGCTCTACCATCCATTTTCCCCAAGAACAGTTCTTTTGTAGAAAAAACTATAAGAAAAGGAAGTGGCATTCAAGGCTAAGCAGCTGCCGTTAGGGACCCTGAAGACAAACTTACCCTTTCATATTCACACATGTCAAAATGTTCTGAAATAGACTAAGTCATTTTTCCTGCTTACTTTTCATTTAATGGAGTATAACCAGGCTATCAAATCCTATTATGGCTATCCTTTAAAAGAAAAATCGATTGTCTTTGTTTAGTTTGTTATAGCAAAATACCTTAGACTGAGTAATTTGTAAACAGTAGAGATTTATTGCTCGAAGTTCTGGAGAGTGGGAAGTCCAAGATCAAGGCATCAGCGAATTTGATGTCTAGTAAGTGCTCACTCTCTGCTTCAAAGATGGTGCCATCCTGCCATGTCTTTATGTGCTGGAAGGGGCAAACAAGCTTCCTCAGGCCTCTTTTATAAGGGCACTAATCCCTTTCATGAGGACAGAGCCTAAAGGCCCTACCTATTGCTTTAGGGATTAGATTTCAACAATACGGGGGAACACAAACATTCAGACCACAGCGTCAACCCACTTAATTTTTTTCAAAACTGAACTTTCCCAATAAAGCAGTAATCAAAAATAATAAATCTTGGTGATTAAAGCTGGCCCCAGAATCCTTTGCCAGTTTTTCCATTTTTCTCTTTTCTTGATGACCTCTCTCTTTGTTTCCATAGTACTCATGTTGCCCCAAATCTCCCTTCCCAACTCTTGCTCCTCAGAAGGCTTTTGATTTGCTTATACTCTCACTAGAATTTATATTCTCTTGGTATGTTGAATGAATGACCTCTAGTTCAAACTAAGGTGTAGTTTTTTTTTTTTTTTTTTTTTTTGTTGTTTTTGTTGTTTTGTTTTGTTTTTGTTTTTGTTTTTAGACAGTCTTGCTGTACCTCCCAGACTCGAGTGCAGTGGCATGATCTCAGCTGACTCCAACCTCCATCTCCAGGGTTCAAACAATTCTCATGCCTCAGACTCCAGGGTAGCTGGAATCACAGGTGCATACCAACATGGCCAGCTAATTTTTTGCATTTTTGATAGAGCCAGGGTTTCACTATGTTGACCAGGTTTGTCTGAATCTCCTGTCCTCAAGTGATCTGCCTCCCTCAGCCTCCCAGAGTGCTGGAATTACAGGCGTGAGCCACCATGCCCAGCCTATGGTGTAGTTTGTTGATAACAGGCTTCTGTATTTACTGCCGTTGGCAAGAACACTTATTCACACATAACAGGAATTTAACAGTTGGCATGAACATTGCCCAAACCAGACTCTACTTTTGGTGGAGAAAAGGCCATTTCTGGCTCTTGAAAACATAACCGTTTTTTTTTTTTTTTTTTTTTTTTTTTTTACTCATTTCTCTGAAGCTTGATGTATCACTAGAATGAGACAAATACCTAAATTAACAGTAGCTTAAATAGTTAGGGGGTGGTTATTCTTGTGTATAGTCAGAGATAGCTAGTTCAGAGCTGACATGATGGCACAGTGGTGTTATCAACAGTCCAGATTGGTTCCATCTTTCTGCCCTGCCATCCTTAGCACAAGACTTTTCCTCTTGAAGAAGATCACTTCATGGTTGCATACTGGCTGCTTCAGCCATACTGTATTCACAAAAGGATGATGAGAACAAGGCAAAATGAAATGGGAAATAAAAGTGAGACATGAGACTGAAGAGGTAAACTAGCCAGGTCTCTAGCAGCCATGTGGAGGATAAGTAGGGAAGGGGCAGGGGATGCAGGAATTAACATGGGCAACATGGGAACCTGGTAGGAAGGAATTGTAATGGTTCAAGCAAGGCAAACTACAGATCTGAATTAGCACGGTAACAATGTGAAGAGAGGATGAAACAGGTATCGAAATGGTAAAGTAGGCAGGAATGTGAGTCGATGTGAGAGAGTGGAAGAGGTCAACACTGATTCCTAAGTTTCTGTGTTCATTTATGAAAAAAAGTGCAGGAAAAGCAGTCTTTAAAGATGACTCAGATTTGTGCACATTAAGTTCAAGATGTCTGTGGAACATATAAATGGAGACATCCAGGAGTCAGCTGGATATGAATATAAAAAAGGGGGAGTGGGCAGGGATGGAGATTGAGATTTTGAATCATCTGCAAACATATACATCCAAGGTGAAACAGAGTAGATACACTAGAGTCTCCCAGGGAGCACACATAGCCATGGTTCTCAGTCTAATCCTGGGACACCAAATTATTAGGAGGTAAAGAAAAAGAATCTCAAGACCGAATGGTCAAGAAACTGGGAGCCAAACCAGGAGAGAGTAGCATCTTAGAAGCCAAGTGAGACAAGGAAGGAATAGCTAATAGGATGTATGTAAGGTAATGCACTCAAAAGAACTTTGGAAACCATCTTAGGAAAAATACAGTATTAGCTGTTTTAAGGAGGCACCCTTTAAATATCAAAACAAGTCCTCCTGATTTAAGAAACTCCCACTTGTATTGAGGAATACCAGAATTTGAACACCACTAAATGAAACTCATTCCCTGACAGCCCAAAACCATCAGAATTAAGGTAGAAGGCACATGTCAAGACAGTTACCATATGATTTTCTCTGCAAGAGATTCAGGAATCCATGATTCCCCCTGCTTACATTTTATCTCACGCCTTCTTCCCTGACCAGTTCAACACAAGCAACCCTGAGACTTAGTATCTTCTTATCCTGACCCTTAAAATGTGTCTCATGCTTTCCAACAGAGGCTGTCCTCTCGGAGGAATATTTTTACTTTTGGCCTGTAGCCCCACCCTTCATCCTATCGGGTTCTTAGAGCCAGTTCTGCAGTGAGTGGGACACTTTCCAAATATAATAGCAAATGGAAACTTCTAATTACATCTGCACATAAAACTAATGTTCTGGTTCCAGTGAGTGCATATAATTTTGTGTTATCTCAGCATCCATTTTCAAATATGTTTATCTTCTAATAACAGAAGCAGGGCTCAATCACCACGGACAGTTTCCAATACCATATCACACGCAAATGGCTGGTGGCGAGAAATAAACATGTGACGTGATAATAGGGCACTATTGCAGCTTCAAACTCCGGTTCAAGTTCCTCCCGCCTCCGCCTTTTCACCTGCTTGCTTTAAATCACCGGTTAGAGCTCTCCAGAGGAAATTATCTGAATGAAGTTGCTGGCCCAGAGGTCGGTCCCAGTTCCCTACTCCACACTCCCTCTCCTCGCCCTGTGCTCCGTGACCTCCGTGGGAGTGTGTGTGTGTGTGTGTGTGTGTGTGTCTTCTAGACATGCTGTGTACCCTCCAAGGTCTGTAAGTACTAAAAAGTCGTAACTTTCACACAGCTGTGTCATTGAAACCATTCCTGCAATCCAGTCCCTGAAGGCGAGGCCACCCTGAAGGGACGGATTCACGTAGGTGGATCTCCTGTTCTTACTCTTCTGTCCTCGTCTCTGGTGGCTGCTGGGGCACAGTAGCTACTAGCTTAAGTTGATAGAGACACTCAAAGAAGTTCACTCAAAACACTAGTCCCTGAGCAGCCCAGTAAGCTTTTGAACGCATAACAGAGTTCTGTTTCGGTTTGAAACAAAGTCACAAAGCACAAATGCGGCTGTGGCTGACGGCTATTTGGAGGCTGCCCAGGCCTGACAGCAGAAAGCAGCATCGGACTGCAGCAGGGCCGCACAGCGTGACAGCCAGCCCTCGGGGAGCCCAGGGCACCAGCAAGGCCTGGGCACAAAAACGTTTTGAAAAACATTGTAATATACTTTAATAAAAAACATAAAAGGGAAAATCAGAAATCTTTGGAAGTTTCCTACTGGTTTTATGTCCCATAGCAAATCCGAGGAGAACGCCCCAAACTTTCAGTTCCCTGGGGTTCTGAAGATGCTCATTGAGTCCTGGCCACTGGACTTCTCAGAACCTGGGCCAGGAGGCTGAGGTCAGCGCGGCGGCGGGGGTGGCGGGCGTGAGGGTCCCTGCCGAGGTGTGGCCGCGCGGCGCAGGACCCCGGAGCCTGGCTGCGCCCTGGATCCGGCAGGCTTCCCGGGGGCGGGGCCGGGGGCGGGGCCTTGCGAACCGGAGCGGTCGGGTGCGGGCTGAGCGCAGAGGCTGCACGCGTTTGGAGGTGGATCCTCGGCGCCGCAGGGTAAGAAGGCCCGAGAGCCTGCTGGGGTCCGGTGGGCAGAGTCGAGGCGGTGGCGGCGGCCTTGTGTGCCCGGGGAGGGTCTGCGGGGGGCTCCCCGCGTCCTCGCTTTCCACGCCCCCTCCCCGCCGGGCGAGGCTCCCGAGGCCTGACGCTTTCTCCAGTCCCCGCGGCCCGGTGTCCTGGCCGAACGCCACTTCGTTTTCCTCTGCGGGGAGGGAGAAGCGGGGAGCTGGCCCCCTCCCAGAAGCAGCCCCGTCGCTCCTGCCGCATCCCCCATCCCCTCGGGGGCAGCCTCGTACCCGGACCCCCGCCACCGCTTTCTTCTCAAGGGAAGCTGTAGCAGTTTAGAGAAAATTGGCCAGCGGCGGGGAAGGCCAGCCACTGTGGTTCCGGCTGTTCCTCTCTCCCCTCGCCGCCTAAATGTGGAATTTTGAAAAGCAGGTTTTGGGCGAAAAGGACATTTTAAGTACAACGTGACGTTTTGTTCTCTTGGGTCGGCTCGGGCCGCGCCCTTCTGAGAGTCTGACTGCTGACTTTTAAAAACAACATTAGGCAGTGTGCCTTTTAAGGCCGTTTAGTGCCAGCCAGGCTCTCCAATGGCCTTTCGGGAAGTATTTAAGGGCGCTTTATCTTCAGCCGGGCACAGCGGCTCGCGCCTGTAATCCCAGCACTTTGGGAGGCCGAGGTGGGCGGATCACGAGGTTAGGAGCTCGAGATGGTGAAACCCCGTCTCTACTAAAAATACAAAAATTAGCCAGGCAAGGTTGCACACGCCTGTAATCCCAGCTACTCAGGAGGCTGAGGCAGGAGAATCGCTTGAACCCGGGAGGCGGAGGTTACAGTGAGCCGAGACCGCGCCACCGCACTCCAGCCTGGCGACACAGCAAGACTCCGTCTAAAAAAACAAAAAGCAGTAGGCTTCGCGTCATAGGGTGGTTGAGATGATTGATGGAAAGCGCTTAGCACAAACGCGGTGGCTGCTAATATTTTAGGTACCCTGCGATCCCTGAACAGTTGTTCCAGTTCCCCACTCCTGGCAGTTTACTCTCAGTTGCCTGAAGAAGGCACAGAGCTCAGAGTGTTGAGGGAGGTGGCAACGTTTGCCAAAATGTGCCTATTTACATGGCAGTTTATGAAGGAGAGGCAGAAAGGGAGGCTGCCTCATCTGCAAGTCAAACAGTGCCGAAACCTGTGGCCTCTAATTTTCATAGTGGAAACTAGAAACTGTTTGCTAAACTTAGTTGTAAGGAAAACATCCCATTAGCTGAATGGCTTGGGTGATAAAAGCCCAAATAAAATGGATCTTAGGGTGGGAGAGTGGGTGCCTAATGGCATTCATCTTTGACAGCTGCTGGTAGAAGCCCTTGAAAAGGAGAGCAAGGAAAATTCTGGGCCATCTCTTTAAGAACCTCAGCCAAACCACCACAGCCCTTACCAAGCCCACAAATGCTTGAGGCTTTCTGAAGGCAGAGACTTGTTTTTAGCTATGTCCCATATGTTTGTGAAATATCTTCACTAAACCTTGGCTTTGCTTGTGTACTTAACGTAGGTGGGGCGGTGAGTGCAGAGGTAAGAGACTCTTTAGAGAGCTAGGGATGGGCATTCAGGAACAAGCTGCAGGAAAGGCCCTGGTGGGGGAACCCGTGGATTTCTTTGATTCAAAGAGTTCTGACCTATTAAGTGGGAGCCGAACAATGAGAACACATGGACACAGGGAGGGGAACAACACACACTGGGGCCTGTCAGTGGGTGGGGTGGGTGGGGTGGGTGCGGGTAGAGCATTGGGAAAGATAGCTAATGCATGCTGGGCTTATTACCTAGGTGATGGGTTGATAGGTGCAGCAAACCACCATGGCACACGTTTATCCATGAAACAAACCTGCACATCCTGCACGTGTACCCTAGGACTTAAAAATTAATTTGTATATATATAGAGAGAGATTACACACACAGTTCTGTTCTGGATTGGTTGTTCCTGGCATAAGAACCTTGGTTGGCTGGGAGACGCTTTTCCATTGTGATGGGTGTTTTCTCTTTGATTCTTCCTGCTGATGTAATTGGTTCTGTGAAGTGAGTGGTTGATAACTTGCCTGGGCACCTAACAGGCTTGGCTAGAGCAGGTACTGTGTATGTCTCCAAGGTGACACGCAGACCTGGAGTTCAGAAGCTCTAGTTCCCGGACACAGCTGACACCAGGTATCTTGTGAGTTACCAGCCCCTGGTAAATAGAAACAAGATCCATTCAGGATGGTTTTGCGACTAAGCTGTTGCCTTAGGACAGGTAATTTCATCCTGCTGGGCCTCCACTAATTTCCTATAAAATAAAGACATTGGGTTTTATTTTGAGGACATGTCTAGCCTTAAAATTCTTCAGCCTTTAAGGCCTTATGCTCCTAGGAGGAGTAACCATACTCATGGGCATCTGTGAATCTTGTGGAAACACCACTGATGTAAAAGCCATTCTCTAGTGACCTCAGCTTAACTAATGTCTTTCAGAAACTGAATTCACAAGAAGTCTCCTGTCTCCCTACTAGAGAGTGTAACTGTGGTTCTCTCAGAGCTTAGACCTGGGTTTAACTGCTGTTCTACCAGTTGCCAGTGAGGAAGTTGCTAAAATTTAATAATTTTACTTTTTTTTTTCTGAGGCAGCCTCACTCTGTTGCCCAAGCTGGAGTGTAACGGCACAATCTTGGCTCACTGCAACCTCCATCTCTTGGGTGCAAGCGATTCAAGTGTCTCAGCCTCCCATGTAGCTGGGATTACAGGTGGCTAATTTTTGTACTTTTTAGGTAGAGACAGGATTTTGCCACGTTGGCTGGGCTGATCTGGAACTCCTGGCCTCAAGTGATCCACCTGCCCCAGCCTCCCCAAGTGCTAGAATTACAGGCATGAGCCGCTATTCCCGGCCTTATGGTAATTTTCTACCACTGCTGAAACCACCACAAATTTAGCTGTTTCAAATGCCACACATTTATTACTTTTCGTTGTGTAAATCAGAAGTCTGACATGGGTCTCACAGGGCTATAATCAAGGTGGCAGGGCTGTGTGCCACTCTAGAGGCTCTAGGGGAGAATCTGTTTCTGAGCTCCTTCAGGTTCCTGGTAGAATATAGTCCTCGTGATTGGAGGACTGAGGTTTTGTTTCTTTGCTGGGTGTCAGTCAAGGACCATTCTTAGCTTCTAGAGGCCACCTGTGTGCCTTGGCTTGGGGAACCCTTCGTGTCTTCATCATACTCTTCACATTTCTTTCCTCTTTTTCTGTCGTCTGTCATGTGTCTTTGACAGACTCTGCTACCTTCTTCCTCTTTTAATGACCCTTGTCATTACATTGGGCCCATTGAATAATCCAAAATAATCTCCTTATTCTCATCTACAGAGTCACTTGCAATGTAAGGTTGCCTGTTTTCACAGGTTCCTGGAATTAGGATATAAACATTTTTGTGGAAGAGAGGCATTATTCTACCTACCACATAAGTTAGTTGCATAAATTAGTTCTCTTCCTCAGCCTTGTTTCCTCTGCCTCTAATTGGAGGCAAAGTTAAATTTACCTTATAGTATTATTGTGAGGATTAACTTCAGTTACTGGGTCAAGAGTATCGATCTTAGCAACTGACCCTTGATATTTGCTCACCAAACCGAAGTTAACACAGCAACAAGGTGTATCAGTCCATTCTTGCACTGCTGTAAAGAAGTACCCGAGACTGGGTAATTTATAAAGAAAAGAGGTTTAATTGGGTCACAGTTCTCCGGGCTGTGCAGACTTCTGCCTCTGGGAAGGCCTTAGGAAATTTAAAACAATCACGGTGGAAGGGGAGGCGAAGCAAGCACGTCTTACTTGATGGGAGCAGGAGGAAGAAAGCAAAGGGGAAAGTGCTACACACTTTCAAAATGGGGATTTCCTGAGAACTCTATCATGAGACAGCACGAAGCGGATGATGCCAAACCATTAGAAACCACCCCCGTGAACCAGTCACCTCGCACCAGGTCCCTCCTCCTACACTGGGGATTAAAATTCAACATGAGATTTTGGTGGTATTTTAGTCCATTTTCATCCTGCTGTTAAAGACATACCCAAGACTGGGTAATTTATAAAGAAAAAGAAGTTTACAAACAGTGCATGTTCTCACTCATAAATTGGTGTTGAACAATGAGAACACATGGACGCAGGAAGGGGAACATCACACACTGGGGTCTGTTGGGGGGTAGGGGGCTAGGGGAGTGATAGCGGGGGTTGGGGAGATTGGGGAGAGAGAACAGAAGAAATACCTAATGTAGGTGACGGGGGATGGAGGCAGCAAACCACCGTGGCATGTATGTACCTATGTAACAATCCTGCAAGATCTGCACATGTACCCCAGAACTTAAAGTATAATTTAAAAAAAAAAGATAAAGAGGTTTAACAGACTCAAGTTCCACATGGCTGGGAGGCCTCACAATCGTGGCAGAAGGTGAAAGGCATGTCTTACATGGCAGCAGACAAGTGAGAAATATGAGAGCCAAGTGAAAGGAGAAACCCCTTATAAAACCATCAGATCTTGTGCAACTTCCTCACTACCAATAGAACAGTATGGGGGAAACTACCCCAATGATACCTCCCACCGGATCCCTCCCACAACACGTGGGAATTACCGTTCAATATGAGACTTGGGTAGAGACACAGGCAAACCATATCACAAGCTCTTGCCTAATGGCTTGCATTCAATGTCATGATCATATGGGCCCTTAAAAGTTAGAAACGGCTACTAAATATTTAATCAGAACAGCTTCTTTTACAGCCCTGTTGGAACAAACATTTCCAATCTAATCTAAAGTAACCTGGCCCTTATGCCAGGTCACTCTCTAACCCAGTGGTTCCTAGTGTGATCCCTGAACCAGCAGATATGCAGCACCTGGGTGCTGGCTCAAAATGCACATTCTCGAGGCTCGCACGAGCCCCACTAAATTAAAACCTCTGGGGCTGAAGTCCAATCATCTGCTTAAGAACCCTCCAGGTGATTCTGATGCTCCCTGAAGTTTGAGAACCAATGTTCTGACCCTCTCTTATTTTCTTCCTTATCTTTAGCACTAGTTGGTGTAGGAATTGAGGCCTGCTTCACAGCGGTAAGTATACTCACCAGTGAATCCCTTAAATGTTATTAGATAATTATTTGATTTGTTAAATACTTTATGTTCAGATTTCTTTGGATTGCACATATATATGTATTTGTGTGTGTATGTATATTATATATGTATCTGTGTGTTTTTATGTATACATATGTAACATATATATGCTTATATGCAGTTGGCCCTAAAACAATGCAGGGTTAGGGACACTGTACAATATCTAGCTTGTGGCGGGGCAGCTAAGAGGGGATGGGGTGATGGCAAACAGTTGCTCTTTCAGACATCCAAAATGACTCTCTAATTGATCCTAATTGTCTTTGGAAGTCACACAGAATAACCTCTCTCTCTTCCTCAGTGCCCTTTCCTATATTTGAAGATAGTAACTGTCTCTGACTGTTCCTTTTCAGACAGAACAGCCCTGGTTCCTTCAGCCATTTCTCCTGGCATCTACAGCTGTTTATTTTGCTAGCCTGATAAATTGGAAGAAATTTGGAAATGTGGCATCTAGACTAAAAATATTATTTCCAGGTCAAGTCCAAGGCCAAGATTGTGTCTGCATTTGCCTACTTGCTTGTTTTTTAAACTGCCCATGACATTTTTGTCCATATTGAGATTTAAAACCCTCGTCTTATTCTTATATTTTATCATCATATAAAATCTTTATTACCACTTTATAAATTAGGAACTGAAATAAAAGGAACTGACTGCTTCCAGGATATGTAAATTGGGAGCAAAGTGGGCTTAAAATATAGGTCTGCCTTTCAGGATTAACAGAAAAATCACCGAGGCTTCATTTTTCACAAACATAAGTGTGGGTGACAAAATAATGGTTTTCAGACAGGTGTAGAAAATATATACATGAAACATTTTTTTACCTCAAAGCAGCCAGTTTTGAGAAGCTGTGTATATTTTTTATATCTAATTAGGTTGGGTAGTCCAAACAAAAGTTAAGAAACTATAAATGAAATAGTCACATCAAAATCTTCTAGGCCAGGCACGGTGGCTCATTCCTGTAATCCCAGAACTTTGGGAGGCTCAGGTGGGTGGATCACCTGAGATCAGGAGTTCGAGACCAGCCTGGCCAACACGGTGAAACCCCGTCTTTACTAAAAACAAATCAGCCAGGCATGGTGGCACACGCCTATAGTCCCAGCTACTTGAGAGGCTGAGGCAAGAAAATTGCTTGAACCCAGGAGACAGAGGTTGCAGTGAGCCAGGATCATGCCACTGCACTCCAGCCTGGGTGACAGAGTGAGACTCCGCCTCAAAAAAAAAAAAAAAAAAAGAAATCTTCTATCATGTTGAGATTTTTCTATGAAAATGTTCGTTAAGAAAAAATAATGGATTTAAGCATAAACTGCTCATAATTCTTCCACTCTGTTAACCCACATGATTTAAATTCAGGAAAGATTGATGTACTCCAAACCTGTGTGTGTAGATGGCTGGATGCAGTTATGTTTTCAAGAAAATAATAAAATTATAGCTATATTTAAACCAGCTTTTTTTCTTAATTCATCGTGAACAGCCTCCACGCCCGTTACTTTTCCTGGCTCTGCAGTTCCCCACCATGGAAGTGTACCAAAATATACTCAATTTTCTTTTTATTGGATGTGTATATCACTAAATGTTTGCTATTTTCAACAATATTTGTATAACATTGACTGTTTCTTATTCCTGTGATGAAAGGCCTACTTGGAGCTCCCATTACAGAAATGACTTCAGAGTCAGCTTATGCTCCACCCAGGACAACCTGCCCTTCCTTCCTAAGGTTGGGAAAGACTTGTCCCTACATACCTTCTCTGAGGGATTTTTCAGTTGTGCATTCTTTAGAGGAACTAAAAATCATTCAGAATGGCAATATTATTAGAACAATAGCAATATTATTAGAACAGTCCTTAGGGACAAACCCGCTGTTAGGAGTCCTGAGATGTTTGGAGAGGAGTTGAGTGGTGATGCTGAGAGTATCTTGCATGGAAGTTCTTGGTTTGGATGGAATCGCAGCACTTTGGGTTCATTTACAGGCATGAGGCACTGCGCCCCGCTGAACTGACATACTCTTAGCTAGTTCACGTGGTCTGCAGTGTGGAATGAAGGAGTACAGGTGGTGGCGGAGAGACTAGGAGACTGTTGCACTGCTGTAACCTGAGGTGTTGGCTTGAACCAAAGTTGTGAAACTGGCCAGATTGTAAACATTTTAAAGGTAAAGTCCACAAGATCTGCAGAGGAATGGACAATTGGGTGTTAGAGAATGGCATTAAAGATCTTTTATTTTTTTAAGACAGTCTCGCTCTGTCATCCAGATTGGAGTACAGTAGCATGATCTCAGATCACTGCAACTTCTGCCTCCTGGGTTCAAGCGATTATCTTGCCTCAGCCTCCCAAATAGCTGGGATTACAGGTGTCTGCCACCATGCCCAGCTGATTTTTGCATTTTTAGTAGAGATGGGGATTCACATATTGGCCAGGATAGTCTCGATCTCCTCACCTTGTGATCTGCCCGCCTCAGCCTCCCAAAGTGCTGGGATTACAGGTGTGAGCCACTGTGCCCAGCTAAAGATCTTTTTTCTGCACTTAACTTACGGGAACCTTCCTTTTTTTTTTTTTTTTAATTAAAATGGAGGGCGTTTTAGACTAGGGGGTAGTTTTACTAAAAGATAGATGATCTATGACTACTAGAAAAGGAGCATTGTCGTGTGTGGATTTTCCTGATGTTTCTGATGATACTTGGTTTATTTATTATAGAATATTTGGGGAAAGGATGGCAAAAATAAAGGATCGGGAAGAAAAAGAAAAAGCCGCAAATGATCTTGCTTAGTGTTAATTACCATCTGCATTTTAGGGCATTTATAAAATAGCCTTAAAACCATCAACTATTTCTTTTTCTGTCTCCCGCCCTCCTCTGCCTCCCATACACATACACACACTCCATCTGAACGCTCTACTCTTGGAAATTCGTATCTCCGCAGTGGTTCATAAAGGCCTGCTCTTATTTTGATCGAACAGCCTCACCTTGGAGTCTGCACGTAGCTACTTCCTTCCTCTGCTATCTTGGTTTCCCCTGCAGCATGTCATGGAATCAGCCATGGCAGCAACCAGCCAGTCTTGTGGAACTGAGGCTAAGGCTTGACACTCCCCACCCACCCAGGCTGCCTTAGGTTTGATGCCTGAGGTCTCCCCTGCTCATTCAATGCAGGGTGTCTCTCTGGCTTCCGCACCTCACGCCCTCCTCTGTCTCACTTCCCACCCTTCATCCCACAACAATCCCTCCCCATTCTTCCTCTGGTAACCTCATGACTTCTCAGTAACACTGACAGTGGCCACAACTTTTTGAGTGCCATCTTTGGCCAGGCATTGTGCGTTATGGTACACATAACTGTCCCCGTGCTTATTAGCCAAAGCGTGGAGATCAGAGGTTAACATACAGCAAAGAGGTGGCAGGGCCACAACTATCTGGCCTTGTTCAGAGGCCTCTAGACTGGACTGGAACACCTGTGCCCTGAACACTTTCATTGTGTTCTTCCTGCTTTCTTAGCAGGCCTGTTCTAAGATACTCATCAAAGAACAGCTCCCTGTCAGGGAACCTGTGTGTTGTGGAAGTGTGACTTATGTCAAGGACCATTCCAAGGGAAGCATCCTCAGCCTGCAGCTCCGGCCATCCGGACACCTTTCCGGGGCCTACCCCAAGGTTCCTTCCCTCCTCCTTCCACAGGGATGACATCGTAGCTACTTTGGGTTTTCGTTTGTTTAGAGACAGGATCTTGCTCTGTCACCCAGGCTGGAGTGCAGTGGCACAGTCACAGCTCACTGCAGCCTTGACCTGCTGGGCTCAAGTGATCCTCCCACCTCAGCCTCCCAAGTAGCTGGGGTTACAGGTGTATGCCACCACACCAGCCTAATTTTTTTTAAATGTTTTTATTTTTGTAGAGACAGGGTCTCACTATAATACCAAGGCTCCGATCATGCTATGCTTAACTTTTAGGAAGTGTCTGGAGCTGCCTGTTGGGGGACCAACACCTTCCTCCCCCTGCTCACTTGCAGCAGTTCCTCTTGGACTGGAGCCCTGTTTAACCTGAGTCTGTGACTCACCCTTCCTACTCAGAAACCCCTGTCAATGGGGAACCAAGAAGGTGGCTGGCATGTGCTGGAGCCCCGGCCCCAGGGAAGGTCCACATGGGGGATGGTGTCCCCCATGGCTGTAGGTTTCAGAGCCTAGGGGGTGGTGGGGAGTCATCAATGTGTAAGGAAAGGCCAGGCCACAATTGTCTTTCTTCTGGTTTCTCACATATCATAAAGCCACCTCTTTCTCACTTCCACCACATCCATCCCCAGGGTTGACTCACTGAGCATTTTCCTCTTTGGACAATGTCAGACGCTGCCCTTTTCCTGGAACATCTTAGTCCTCTGCTGCCCTATACCAGCAAATTCCGTCAAGCTGTGACAAATGATGATTTTGTAGCCCCAGAGAACTCTGCATTTCTAACTTAGAGGAGGGTAGGTGACTCACCCTTCCAAGAACCCCATCTGTCTGTCTTGGCCTGTGGGGCTCTTGAGAATAGAATATGGAGTATCCTGGCTTACAGGTGCTGCCGCCTCCTTGTTTCAGGATGGGTTCAGGGACGTAGGGTTGGAGGGAGATTTCTTAGTTCTACTGTGGCTGCTTTGTATCTAGGTAAGTTCAAACCCTCCCCGTACCTTGGCTTCTTTACTGGGTAAAGAAGGGTTGGAGGCATTTCAGCCTTCCCTCTTCCCACCTGATGCTATCACTACACATCTAGGCATTTATGTAATGGAAACTTACAAAGTTGCCTACTACCTCTCTTCATATCCCCAAAGAGAGCAAGGAAATGAACCCATTATACTTAGAGTGGCAAGAGAGAGCTTCTGGGTATGCCAAGCCATTGCTGTCTGTTCTGCTGCTAGATGCATGCTGGTGCCTTCCAGAGTCACCCCTTTGGTCCGATTCACTTAGTGCCGTGGTTCAGAGAAGTGGCCCTCCATTTCAGCCAGCATCTGGGGGTGGGGACAGTAGAGTGGGAACTGCAGTGGCTGTATGAGTCAGTTTGCGCAGGTTCTCACTTGACTCACTGACCCTGATGGGGAGGACAGTGTTACTCCCATGGCATGGTGGTGCACACTGGGGCTTGTAGGGACTGAGCCTACTCAAGGGTATGTGGTGCTGTGGGTTAGAGCTGAGGTGTGGCCCAAAGATTCCTGACTCTGAGCCCAGTGTGCCTTGACTCCCCCTTAATACTCCTCTCAGAAGCCTCCTTGGCCTTCCAGCCCCTGGTTTTGGAGACAACCAGCAGTCATTTGTTGGTTCCTGACAGTCCTTCCTATCCCTTCCTTCCAGGTTCTGTGGACAATCACAATGGGAATCCAAGGAGGGTCTGTCCTGTTTGGGCTGCTGCTCGTCCTGGCTGTCTTCTGCCATTCAGGTGAGTGCTCCAGTCTCAGGACACAGATCTAGGCTGCCTGGGCCATGAAGTCCCTTCTTAGGCCTCAGTTTCAGCCCCAGCTCCTCCTCCAGGCCTGGCTTTGGTTCTTTTGACTTCCACTGTTACAGGTCTGGGGTTGTATGACAGCTCCTTCCTATGTTATGACCTTGTCCTCAGTGGGGCATCTTCCTGAGTTACAGCCCATCCTGAGTTACAAGGTGGCTTTTGGCAGGGGTACAAGTGGCTTCAACACTCAGCAGCTGAAGTTTCACCCCTGTCACCATAAGCTGCTTGGGGACACCAGTGGATGCCATTGTTAGAGTGCTGTGCAAGTCCCTTTGGGGCACCACTCTGCTTAGAGCCATCTGAGCTCAGTCCTTCTGCTCTTGGGCTCCTCCCATGTTTTAACGATGATGGCCGTAGTGACAGCAGCAGCAGCTAGCTAACCCTGATGTGCCAGTCACTGTTCTAAGCATTTTACATGTATTTGCTTATTTAGTCCTCCTGCCAACTGGATAGAGTAGGTATTATTTTTATCCTTGCTTTACAAGCAATAAGATTGAGACCTCCAAATAACTTGTCAAATAACACACACAAGTGGTATGCTGGAATGTGAACACACAGTCTGGCAACAGAGTCCCTGCTCTTCCTTCCTGCTCCAGGCCACCTGTCACTGGGCCACCCGGTCTCCTCACCCACCCATCCCCTGGTTTCTGGGGGGAAATTGTGTGCTTCTGAGTGAACTTCTGTAACAGTGGAAACACATGGTAAGGATCAAATGCAGTTATCTGCCTATGTCATGTTGGTATAACGTCTTGTCTGCTGGTGGTTTTTTTTTGTTTTTGTTTTTTTTTTAAAATATGGTTGGTAGGGGGAGCAGAAAAGGAAGTAGCAATACAATGAGCAATTTTAAAAAAGATCTCCACACCATTGTAGCATGTCTTATAATATTAGTAGCAACCATATATTGACTGCTTATTGTTTACTGGGGACTGGGCCTGAGCCTGTCTTTTAAATCTGTCCAACCATCCCAGGAGGTCAGTGCTGTTACGCCCATATTACTGCCGAAGAAATGAAGGCAAAGTAGTAACTTGCCCCAGGACACACTTGAACATGCTCTCCCTTTCTGAGCAGAAAGAGAAGTCACGACACCCCTTCTTCCCCACCTCCCCTAATTCTAGCCAGGTTGCAGTGTAATGCAGTTCACCTGTGTTACAACACTGCCTTTTTTCTATACTTACTTATTTATTTATTTATTTACTTTGAGACGGAGTTTCACTTTTGTTACCCAGGCTGCAGTGCAATGGCACGATCTCGGCTCACCGCAACCTCCACCTCCTGGGTTCAGGCAATCTCCTGCCTCAGCCTCCTGAGTACCTGGGATTACAGGCACGTGCCACCATGCCCAGCTAATTTTTTGTATTTTTAGTAGAGACGGAGTTTCACCATGTTGACCAGGACAGTCTCGATCTCTTGACCTTGTGATCCACCCGCCTCGGCCTCCCAAAGTGCTGGGATTACAGGCTTGAGCCACTGCACCCAGCCTTTCTATAATTATTTTTTATTCGTTTTTCTTTGTTCCTTCTTTTTTCTGTCTCTGCTGCTTAAATCGGAATGTTTCTAAAATTAAATTAGCCCAGTAACATCCTACTTCCAGCAGTCTGCATTTGTTTATGGAGCAAGCTTGGGACCATCAGCTTCCCCATGACAGGTCTTGGGGTGCTTTTCAGCCCTTCCTCAGAGAACTGAGATGTGAAACTCACGTGTCCACAGATGAGAGGCCTTCTTTGCTGCTGCCTAAAACCCTGCGGGGAACCTTCCTCTGAACTCTGCCTCTTGTAGCCCAGGGGAAATCTCATCTACCCTGGCTTACTGGCTAAAATATCAAACAGTTGTCCACTGACCTACTGCTTGCTTTTTTTTTTTTTTTTTTTTTTTTTTGAGACAGAGTCTCACTCTGTCACCCAGGCTGGAGTGTACAGTGGTGTGATCTTGGCTTACTGCAACGTCTGTTTCCCAGTTTCCAGAGCTCAAGCCTAGGCTGTCAGTTCTAAAACCCAAGCTTGGTTTAACCATGATGTTCTTCTAATTGACCTGAGTGGGAAGAGAAGGAAACTCTAGATTATGGGGGAAACTGAGGTCAAAAACAAAGCAACAGGGCCGGGTACAATGACTCATGTCTGTAATCCCAAAACTTTGGGAGGCTGAGGTGGGTGAATCATTGGAGGTCAGGAATTCCAGAACAGCCTGGCCAAGATAGTGAAACCCAGCCTTTACTAAAAATACAAAAATGAGCCAGGCATGGTAGCATGTGCCTGTAATCCCAGCTACTCAGAAGACTGAGGCAGGAGAATCGCTGGAACCTGGGAGACAGAGTTTGCAGAATAGAATTCGTTTTAGGGGGATAACCATTTGCTTAATTGGGGTTCAAAATTAGTGTTCCCTGTCATCAAATCACTTGCAGATGTTCATCTATTAACACTGATCTGTGATGACATTTTACATATTTCATCTCTGAACATGAATTTTCAAGCAGATAGGTATTGTCAGATACTGATCATCAACCCGTGAGTATGTGATTTAATTGGGCATATTCATTGCTTGGAAGACACAGAATTCTGATTGTTTTTCTTGATACTTTCCTCTTAACACATCATTACATAGCAGATTAATCTCCTTCCAGTTGCAGGTGAGGAGGAAGCTTCTCAATTGCACAGTTAGATGGATTTTCAAATGTAGATATTTCCTTTGTGCTTGCATCAGAGTCCAAAAAATGTTGCTGGAACTTTAAGAGATCCTGACTTTCTTCCTGATTCTAGGTAATAGCCTGCAATGCTACAGCTGTCCTCTCCCAACCATGGAGTCCATGGAGTGCACTGCGTCCACCAACTGTACATCTAATCTTGATTCGTGTCTCATTGCCAAAGCCGGTAAGAGCCTCCCTTGTCTGTCTCCTAAATGTAATGGGGTGATAAGTGCCTGGGAAAAAATTGTGCCGCTGTAACTCTCATTAGACTTGCATCAGGGAATAGCTTCCATTTATTAGCATCAGGTGTGTATTGGGCACTAAGCACTTACTCCATGCATTTTAAACTTCATGCTTCGCACTCCTCAGGGTGATCTTTTATTCCCATTTGATAAATGTGGAAACTGAAGCTCAGATTAGGCAACAAATTATGGTCAAGTAACCACCTCAGGATTTGAACATGGAAGTCCATCTGACTCCAAAGCTTGTGTTCTTTAACAGCAGCCCTGTGCTGCCTTCCAAACCTTGGAGAACCTACTGTGTACCCAGCAGAGGGCTAGGAGCTAGGGATGCAAAGATAAAGAAAGGATACTTACCGTTACAATTATGACAAAGGCCTGTTTGGCTGTCCCAAATGACTTCTTGTACGACTCTGTCTCATTCCATGGGGTATCTGGTATAGGCAGAGTCCTGAGGAGACTCAAGCTGAGCTGAAAGGGCTAGTAGGAGGTAAGAGGGCTAAGAGGGGAAGGGTGTTCTGCGAGGGGCAGCAGGTGCCGTGGCTCTGTGGCTCAGAGCGAGGTGCTCATGAATGTGGGGGTGGGGAGTGCTAACGTGCACAAGTCCTGTCCAATCTGCATTTGCCAAATTGGTGGAAATATTGATGTAATATTCACCTCCATCAACCCTGTTAAAATAGAATTTAGGAAGTGGTAGGCAGAGGAAGAAACCAGCAAAGACATGCCCTCTGTTCTTGCTGGGTATGGTTCTGGGTAGAATCAATGTGTGCGAACGATGCCAGCAAGGAATAGCAGTTTGAGAGTGTTCTCAGTGTCCAAGGTAAAACCCTCAGACTTACATTTCTAAGAGATTAATAATAAAAACACTCCTTAAGGTTATTTGTACTTTTAGACCTTTTATACAAACTCCCCGCAATGTTACCATCAAGGAATGGTGAACATGTCAGGTAAACTCAGAAAAGCCTTCGGACACACACAGGTTCACAAAAACTTAAGATAAAGAAGATTAACTTCCCCAGAAAGGAGAAATCCCTCAATAAGTAAAGACAAATTATAGTTACCCTGTCTAAAAAACCAGGAACATTTTGATCTCGATTTCTGGATTACAGCTAAAACTCCAAGCCCTCCATGCAAGGTTATTGATTCTGTAGGGGACCAGTCCCTCTGCCTCCATTGGAAGACCATGTTTATTCACTGTTAGTGTAGAAAGTGTAGTAAGGCCCTTAGAGAGTATGTGGTCACTATGTATGAGCACAGAAGACCTGGCTCTTTAGCTTGATCAGCTGTTTCTCTTGGACTCTTCACTACTAAGTGTAATTAAACTAAGTATAATTTCCAAATGAGACAGTAAGGGCAATTACCACGTGTAGAGCAGCAGTGAGGAGCTCTGACTTCTGTCCTGCCACCAGCTAGTTCCCTCCACCTCTGTTTCTCATTTATGAAAAGTGTGTATTGGACAGCAGAGGAAGGGAGGAGAGGAGAGGAGCGGAGCTCAGAGCCAAGATCTTTTTCCAGTTCTTAAGTCCCAAAATTTCTTATAAATGGTTAATGTAAACAACAATAGACAATGAGACACACCTACTAAAATGACCAAAATCCAAAACACTGACAACTCCAGATGCTGGTGAGGGTGTGGAACAATGGGAACTTTGGTTTTTTGTTTTTTTGAGACAAGGTCTTACTCTGTCGCCTAAGCTAGAAGGCAGTGGGTGCAGTCTCGGCTCACTGCAACCTCTGCCTTCAGGGTTCAAGTGATTCTCATGCCTCAGCCTCCTGAGTAATCGGGATTACATGAATAAGCCAGCACACACAGCTAGTTTTTTTTTTATTTTTAGTAGGGACGGGGTTTCACTATGTTGCCCAGGCTCTCTCAAACTCCTGGCCTCAATTGATCTGCCCACCTCGGCCTCCCAAAGTACTGGGATTACAGGCATGAGCCACCACGCCTGACCAAAATTAAAAAGTTTCTAAAGTAAAGTGACAGTAAGCTAGGATTGATTTTTTTTTTTAAATAAGCTTAGTGTAGACTAGATGTACGGTATTTAAAATATCTACAGTAGTGTACAGTAATGTCCTAGGCCTTCACATTCACCCACCACTCACTGACTTCCAGTCCCGCAAACTCCTTTCACGGTAAGTGCCCTATAGAGGTGCACCATTTAAAAAATCTTTTGTACCATATTTTTACTACACCTTTCCTATGTTTAGATATGGTTAGATACACAAACAAGTTGGCTGCTAATTCAACCAGTATATACTGGCATCATAGCAGTATAAACCATGGAAGTATAAGCCATGTTAAATATACTTAGTCTTGAAGGAGCCTTTGATGGCAGTGCCATGTGGTCATTGCTGTAATGACATTCTGGGCAAGGGCCACAGTTAAGGGTGCCTATGATGACTGAAGACTGTTGGCTTTAGATAGACTTGAGTCAAAGTCTTCAAAGAGTGGGGAGGAGAAAACCTCTAACACCCCAGGGACTCTGATTTAACCCACTTTTATGTGGGTAGTTATTCTGAGGCTGGTTTGGGTGAGAAGATTACCATAGTAAGGCTGTTGTTTGAATATGATAATTCAAGTAAAGCACTTTGGTACGCTGCAGGACACATAGTAAGTGATTAATTGGCAGCAATTATTAATAAATTACTGTCTGTTCTCCCCAAGCTGCTAGGCTTCCCTAATTAAAATTCTGACAGCTTTAAAGCTTTTCAAGTTCCAGTGCTTAATTACTATTCCATAAAGCAGTAACTTGCCCTAATCACCAGCAGCCTCTAATACAGTATTAGAAGCTTCCACTTATTTAGTTAAGACTCAAGCAAGTACAGCCATTTCTGGATACTCTCTCTGGACTCTGCCACTTGACCAAACTTCATTAAATTCCAATCGAGATACCCATCCCCTCTGAGGAGAAGGACAGGACATTTAATGCCTGCGGTTATAAACTGAGAAATGTTGTGTTCCAAGCTATGCATGGAATTGGGTAAATTAGCTACAAGCCCTACAAGCCTGAACTAAGGAAGTATGCAACTGCATTTTCTTCTTTCCAGCACAGAAGAAAAGAAAACAATTGCAGAGTAAGGACAAATACCTTCTTTTACCCCAGCATCTGGCACATAGGCCCCAGTTATTTTTTGGAGAAGAAAATCTACCGTTAACGCCACTTTCTCAACTAATACATTTTTCACCTGACATGCTTTTTCTGAATATTAAAAAACCATGATAAGATATTTGGACTGTATACTTCTGGCCTTTATTTTCCTGTGTGCCCAAGAATATTTTTCCAAAAATGGGACCGTGATGGCATGTTCTTGTGGAAACTTTTCCTATATTACTGAATAATCTAATTATTTTTAAAATGAAGTTTCAAATATTTTAAAAAATAAATCATCCAGGTGGCAAATTTTTAAAACTCAATCACTACAGAAACATAAACGAAGTATACTCTTCCATGATGATACCACCATTAAATTACTTGGGAATCCTTCCAGAGAAAAATTAATGCGCTTACCTCAATGTATATATGCTTTATTTACACCAATGGGTCACGTTCTATACACTGTTCTACATCTAGGGTTTTTTTTAATTGAGATATAATTTACATACCGGAACATTTACATTTTTAAGTGTATAATTCAGTGCCTCGTAGTGTATTTACAAGGTTGTGTGACTATTGCCGCTAATTCCGGGATCTTTCTATCACCTCAAAAAGAAACCTGTTAGCAGTCAGTCATGCCTCCCTCCCGCATGCCTGAGCAGTCGCTGATCCACTTTCTGTCTTCATGGATTTGGCTCTCCTGGCACTTCATATGCAAGGAATCATACAGTATTGTGGTGCTTTATGACCGCCTTTTTTTGGTTGTTTTTATTTTATTTTATTTTATTTTATTTTATTTGTATTTTATTTTATTATACTTTAAGTTGGGTTACACATGCAGAATGTGCAGGTTTGTTACGTAGGTATACGTGAGCCATGGTGGTTTGCTGCACCCATCAACCCATCATCTACATTAGGTATTTCTTCTAATACTATCCCCCTCCCATCCCCCCAACCCCTGACAGGTCCTGGTGTGTGATGTTTCCCTTCCTATGTCCATGTGTTCTCATTGTTCAGCTCCCACTTATGAGTGAGAGAGAACATGCAGTGTTTGGTTTTCTGTTCTTGTGTTAGTTTGCTGAGAATGATGGTTTCCAGCCTCATTCATATCCTGCAAAAGACATGAACTCATCCTTTTTTATGGCTGCATAGTATTCCATGATATATGTGCCACATTTTCTTTATCCAGTCTGTCATTGATTGGCATTTGTGTTGGTTCCAAGTCTTTGCTATTGTGAACAATGCTGCAATAAACAATGTGTGCATGTGTCTTTATAGTAGAATGATCTGTAATCTTTTAGGTATATACCTAGTAATGGGATTGCTGGGTCAAATGGTATTTCTGGTTCTAGATCCTTGAAGAATCACCACACTGTCTTCCACAATGGTTGAACTAATCTACACTCCCACCAACAGTGTAAAAGTCTTCCTATTTCTCCACATCCTCTCCAGCACCTGTTGTCTCCTGACTCTTTAATGATCGCCATTCTAACTGGCATGAGATGGTATCTCATTGTGGTTTTGATTTGCATTTCTCTAATGAGACTGGCTTTTTTTTTCACTAAGCATAATGTTTCCAAGGTTCACTCATGCCGTGACATGTATCAGTACTTCATTCTGTCGTGGCCACATAATATTCCATTGTGTGGATATACATTTTGTTTATCCATTTACCAGTTACAGGACATAGGGTTCCACTTTTTAGCAATTTTGAATCATGGTACCAAGAACATTCATGTGCAAACTTGGTGCGAATGTAGTTTTCAATTCTTTTAAGTATATGCACTCAGGAGTGGATTGCTTGGTCAAATGGATAACTCTGTCTTTAACTCTTTGCAGAAATGCTAAATTTGTCGAGAGTATCTGTACCATTTTACATTCCCACCAACAATGTTTGAAGGTCATCAGTGTCTAGGCCATCAACCTAGATGTCTCTACTTGCACAGGATAGATTCTAAATAGAATTAAGGGTCCAAAGGCAGATACAGAGCTCTCCCCACTTACTTTCTTCCCCTTGTGTGTGTGTCTTCCCACAGGGTCAGGAGTATATTACCGGTGTTGGAAGTTTGACGATTGCAGTTTCAAACGCATCTCAAACCAATTGTCGGAAACTCAGTTAAAGTATCACTGCTGCAAGAAGAACCTGTGTAATGTTAAGGAAGTGCTTGAAAATGGTGGGACAACCTTATCAAAGAAAACAATTCTTCTGCTGGTGACCCCGTTTCTGGCAGCAGCCTGGAGCCGTCATCCCTAAGTCAACACCAGGAGAGCTTTTCCTCAACTCCCATTCCTGTGTGGTCCCTTTCCCTTGCCACCACGGTCTCAAGGCTTGACATTTTCCAACTGGATCCTGTTGGGAAAGAATAAAATTAGATGGAGCAACTTGGGTAAGATAGAGGGGCTCGGGGAGATTTTGAAGACCAGTCCTATTTGCAGGGAAGCCCCACTTGAAGGAAGACGTTTAAGAGTGAAGTCAGTGTGACTTGAACTAGATTACATGCTGCTTCCTTTGCTCTTGGGAGGACCGGCTTTGCAGTGACAGCTTGAGTTGATTCTCTGCAACCCTCAGACATTTTCCCTCTGGCTCCTTGGGTGTAGTCAATTAGCATCATTGGTACATTTTTGGAGGGTGGAGCAGGAGTGTGTGAGTATTCTTTCTCATATGGAACACTTCCATAAACTTCAGGGCTCCCGTATTGCCATGGAGGCATGCCAAATGTTCCATATGTGAGTATCAGTCAGGGGCAACAAGATCCTTCGTGCAGGGCTAGAGGACTTCTGGCAGAGAAGTGGGCAAGTGTTCCAGATGGCAGGGCATGAAAACTTAGTGAGGTACCGGTAACTGAAAGTTGAGTTTTTCCCCGTCTTTAAATTTTATATGGGCTTTGTTACCTTTCACTGGAAAAGTGTAATAGCATACATTAATAGTGTGTTAAAGCTATTTTCTCCCTTTTTTAAAAATTGGAATGGTGTGATATCTGGGCTTTGCCACACACAGTTACAGAGTGGACACTCTGTGCTACATGTAACTAGCAGTATTAAGTGTCCTTATTTTAAATGTTACTGGTAGGAAGGCCGTTCAGGTATGTGTGTATACAGTATGAATGCAATGGGAACAGCCTATGGGATTGCAGTTCGAGACTTCCAAAGGCCATTCTTAATAATAACAGATCTACAGGGGTGTGTTTTATTTGTCTGCATCCAGCCTCCTGTTAACTCCTAGCTGACTTAGCATAGATTGTATAAAATACCTTTGTAAGGGCTAGCAGCACAGTCACAGATGTTTGAGGCTTTCAGAAGCTGTTTCTAAAAAATGGTACATACCTTTCACAAAGGCACACTTTTTCCTCTTCCCTGTACATTCTAGTGAATAAATCTCAAGATTCAGTAGACCTAATGTCATTTCTATTATGATCTTGGCTGTATTTAATGGCATAGCCTGACTTTTGCAGATGCAGGAATTTGATTAGCTTTGGATGATTACACTCTGTTGGACAAATCAAGTGCAATGCATGATGCCTTTCAGAAAATGAAATATAACAAGCGGATGAATGTGTTATGGCCCAAAAAGATAAGAGCATATGCAATATGCTTAATGGTGGCAGCTGAAAGAAGACATCCTGAGCTGGGCCGGCTTTCTTCTGTTTATGCCATTGCCTGAACATAGAGAAATAGAGACTTGCTCATCGAAACTTAGCATTACCTTGGTGCTCTGCGTTCTCTATTAGCTCAGTCTTTCCTTACATCATCTTTGATTCTCTGTTTCAAGACAAAATGCTACGTGTGACTCTTTCCTCATTAGGATTATTTTTTTGGCCTACGGAAGTACTGACATGCCCACAGCCACTGGCTGAGCAAAGAAGCTCATTTCATGTGAGTTCTAAGGAATGAGAACCAATTCTGACTAAGCAGAAAATGAATATTTTGAAATTTTGTTGGGGGTGGGGGGTGGGAAGTTCAGCCACACTCCAAAAAGCCAGGAGTTGGGCAGTACTGGAACTCTCTCTTAGGATTCAGATTCTAGGATGAGATTGGCTTACTGCTGTCTTGTGTCATGTACCCACCTTTTGGCCAGACTACACTGGGAAGAACGTAGTCTCTAAAGCAGAATCTTGGTGCTACTAAATGGGGAGATGGGGAGAGGGCTGTTGAGCTGTCAGAATCAACAAGGGACATATAAATGGCTTTAAACTCTGGGGTTGCTTTCTGCAGAAAGTTGCTTGACTCGTGCCATAGACTAGGTTGAATGCCTGGACCTTTCCAAAGGCAATACTATAAAGACGTTTCCAGTGGAGAGCATAAAGTATTGACTCTCTGCTCGAGATCACAATGCATTTACCCCACTGACTTTGACTTGAGTGAAAACTAGTCAGAAGTCTCTTTTTCAGAAAACTTATAGGCTATTCAATGTAAGATTTATGTAGTGGTAATCTTATTTATCTAAACTAAAGCTTTCTGTTAATACACACTCCTATTATTTTGGGGTAAGCTAAAATAAAGGGTCCTCCAGAGGGACAGAACTAATAGGATATATGTATATATGAAAGGGAGGTTAATAGAATTGGCTCCCACAATTATAAGGCGAAGTCCCACAATAGGCCGTCTGCTGGGATAGAGAGAAGCCAGTAGTGGCTCAGTCTGAGTCCCAAAACCTCAAAACTGGGGAAGCTGACAGTGCAACCTTCAGTCTGTGGCCAAAAACCCGTGAGTCCCTGGCAAGCCACTGGTGCAAGTCCCAGAGTCCAAGGGCTGAAGAACCTGGAGTCTACTGTCCAAGAGGAGGGAGAGTGGAAGGAAGCATCCAGCACAGGGAAAAAGAAGGAAGTCAGAAGACTCTGCAAGCAAGGTAGACAGTGTCTACCCCCGCAGTGGCCATACTGAAGAGGCCACCGATTCCTTCCTGCTACCTGGATCCTTGAAGTTGGCCTGTTCTCTGCAGCCCCTAAACAGAGTTCTGAAGAGCTTTCAGTTCATGAGCTGTCTCATGGCCCTCCAAAAGAACTCAGTGTCAGCTTCCGTTGCTTGTGGACAGAAAATTCTGACAGACTTACCCTGTAAGTGTTACTGTCAGGATAACATGAGAATATGCAACGGTGCACTGTGGTCACTAAGTGTTAGCTACAGTTACGTTGCCCAAGGTAGCATGGCTAGTTGATGCTGACTGCTGGGGCTTAAACTCAGCTCCCTCATCTCCAAGGCCTCTGTTCTCCCTATTCCACTAAACTACTTCTCACGTTTCAGCTTAGTTTTTTTTAAAGTTTTACTCTGCAAGTAGGTAGGACCACATTTACCCTGGAAAACAAGAATAAGGGATGGTCTGCATTTTTTAGAAACTTTCTTGAAAGGGAGATGGGAATGCCTACACCCCCAAGGCCAGACCAACACAATGGTTAATTGAGATCAGTAATAAAGGAAAGACTGTTCTGGGCTTCCCAGAATAGCTAGATCCTTAAATTGTGGCACAAACAACTTTCAGAGCCAGCCTCCTCCCAAGAAGAGGTGTAAGAGACTAGAGGCCATGTGAGCGGCCTTGCCCTGAGGGCTGGGGTGACAATTTGGAGGCTGTCCAAACACCCTGGCCTCTAGAGCTGGCCTGTTCATATGGAATGCCAGCTCCGATGCCAATCAGCCACCCTCAGGAGAGTTACTTAACCTTACATGCCTCAATTTTCTCATCTGGAAAATGAGAACCATAGGCTTGGGGTTTTAGAAAAGTTAAATCAGTTAAGACAAGTGCCTGGGATAAAGGGCCTCTCTTGTATGTTTATTATCATTACGTCTTAGCAGGTTGAATAAGAATTTTCTCAGGTGTGAGGCTGGCAAAATGATCTGGAGTGTTTGGGTTTTCTAGGATGGACTCCCTGCTGCATTTTCCTCATTCATCCACCATGGTTTAATGGGGAATTAAGGAATCCATGTGTAACTGTATAATAACTAACATGCGCACCACACTTCAGTGAGCACCTACTGTTTGTCCCTGGCACTACTTACACATATTATCATCAAATCCATCAACCCTATGAAGTAGATACTGTCTTCATTTTATAGATCAGAGAAAATTGAGGTTCAGAGAGCTGATGTGATTTTTCTCAGGGTCACAGAGAGTCCCAGATTCAAGCACAACTCTTGTATTCCAAGACACAAGCACTATATGTCCCCAAAGGCTGCCCAGAGCCACCAGGCATGGCAAATTGTGACACATCCCTACAGAGGCTGAGCACCTGGTGAGGGTCTGATTGTTGACAGTGTGTACAGATTCAGAGCTGGAGTGAGGGAGGGAAGGGGGGCTCCTTGGGACAGAGAAGGCTTTCTGTGCTCTCTCTGAAGGGAGCAGTCTGAGGACCAACGAAACCAGGCGAACAGCACCCCAGGCACTCCAGGCCTTCCTGGCTGGAGAGGGCTATGGCAATGGGAAATGAGAAGTGCCAGCTGCAGTGGGTCAACCTAGGTTAAATAGCGCAAGTGAGAGTGCTGGACAGGAACCTCCACCCTCACATCACATTTCCTCGATGTGACTCTTCTGGGCCCTTTCCTGACAGCAGAACAATGACTGCCCTGATTGGTGAGGCTAGAGGAAGAATCAGTCCTGTCCTTGGCAAGCTCTTCACTATGATAGTAAAGGCCCTCTCCCCGCAGCCAAGGCCTGTGACTTTCTAACCTGGCCTCACACTGGGTAAACTTAAGGTAGAGGTGCAGGACTGGCAAGCCCACCTGGCTACCAAGCCAACGGCTACATCCTCCAGCTGAACCTGATCAATGAAGAGGGACTCATGTGTCCCTCTCAGTTGGTTCCAAATGAAGCCAGGGAGCAAGGACATGAGGAATCGAATCGCTCAAGCTCCAGTGGGATGGTACTTAGTGGGGAATTTGAGTGGAGAGGTAGGTGACATAGTGCTTTGGAGCCCAGGGAGGGAGAGGTTCTGTGGAAGTTGAATTCAAGACTGTTCTGTCTTTCATCACCAACTTGAGTTTCCTGGACATCTGTTTGCAGAAACAACCATAGGGTTTTGCCTTAAACCTCGTGGGTTTATTATTACCTCATAGGGGCTTTGCCTCCTGAGTGCAGTTTAGCTCAGTGTTTATTATGGCACTTGAGTTTTCTTGTGTAGTTGTTAGAGAAAACAAGTTTGTCATCAATTTCTTATTTAACCCACTGGCTACAGCTTCATGGATTATGTTATAATTAAACCATCCAGAGTAAAATCTATTTAGATTATCTTGGAGTAAGGGGGGAAAATCTGTAATTACTTTTCTCCTCAACTAGATATATACACACACAAACTATGATTTTATTGCTTCATTTAAAAAAAATAATGCAAAATCTCTTTCCTTTCTAAAGGCCTTGTATTCATAAGGGCTAATGTTGAGTACAAGCCATCGTCAGGTACTTACTCTGTCTCACTTAGTCCTGCCAGTCTAAGCAAGTAGATGCCATTACTGTTCCCATTGTATTGATGAAAAAATGAGGTTGAGAAAGGTTCAGCAACACAGCCAAACCCCAAGTCTGAGTCCAAAACCCTGGTTCTTACCATCACTATGGTTCTATAGGGGTGAAAAATTTTTTCCTCTAATCTCTTAGGTTCAGAGTCTGGGAACTGAGAATAAAACTGACAAAAACAGATTAACAGAAGTCAAAGTTTATTACACGTCATTGGAAATAGATGCTTGGTGCCGCAAAGAAAAGTCAGCACTGAGACAAAGGATCTTTTAGCAATGCAATTTTTGCTTCCTGGACTACAGGAAGGGTACTCTCGCTAGCCATGTTGGCACAAGAGTACAATGAACAAAGGAAAACACACAGATTTATCCCTTATGCATTTGGGGTCGTCCTTACTGCTGTGTTTGATCCTCGTTGGCTGGAGCCAGACCTCACAATCTAAAACCCGATTGGCTAACAACTTAAAACAGTTAAAAGCAGTGAAGAGCTGGGACATGCCTGTGAGCACTTTCAGCACAGGCATCTTGGTTGAAGAACAAGAACATAGAATAAACTACGTGCCTGTAAGCATGGCATGTTTAACAGCTACATAGGGTACGGCTTAACAAAGTTCTTAGCACACTTATTCTTTAACAAGAAAGGAAACTTGAAAGGGGAACTTTTTTACTTCCCACATGCATGTACATGGAGTTCTTACAGAAACAAAGTGAAAACTCAAAGAAGTGTCTTGAGAGCTTATAGACAATTTTAACAAAGGGCAATGAATTCTAGAAAAGTGACAAGACAAAGGAAAAGAGGTTTGAGCTTCTGAGGCAGTAAATTATAGGAAGTTAAATACATGGGGGAAACTAATGGGAGATAGGGTGTTTTTTGTTTGTTTTGTTTTGTTTTGTTTTGGAGACAGAGTCTTGCCTTGCCACCCAGGCTGGAATGCAATGCTATGATTGTGGCTCACTGCAGCCTCAACCTCCTTGGTTCAAGAAATCCTCACACTTCAGCTCCTGAGTGGCTCTAGGCATATGCCACCACAACTTTTTAAAATATTTTTTTATAGAGACAGAGTCTTGTTATGTTGCCCCTGGCTGGTCTCAAACTCTTGGCCTCAAGAGATCCTCCTGCCTTGGGCTCCCAAAGGGCTGGGATTACAAGCTGGGTGCTGAGCTATCACAGATAGCCTGTATTAGTTATACACTGAGGAGAAATACAATTCCTCAAGAGCCTCAGCCTAGTGATCACTGGTATGAATAAAGAATGACGG